AGGAGAACCTCAGGTCAGGGACAGCAGGGAGGGCTGTTTCCCTCCCTGCTGATTTGTGCAGGGTCTCTGTAAAACCCAGCTTGGTTTGTTTATATGTCCACCATGTGGAAAGAGTCTGTGTCCAGGCTGGAAGGAGGTTGGGGCTGGGGTTTGTTTGGGTGGCCTGTGGCTACTGGTGTGAATGGAGGCACTGGCCAGCATCCAGCACATTCCCAGGCTGGCAAACTCTGGGGCTTGGAGCCACCTTTAGGAAGGGACATCCCGCCCAGCTGTTTCGTTTTAGAGACTTAGAGAGGCCCAGGGATTTGTCCACAGTTGCAGGATGACTTGGGAACAGATGGAGGACAAGAATACGGATCTTCAGACCCTTCGGAACCCTTTGTGAGCCCGTTCCTGCTGTGCCCAGGACCTGTGCCATTGCCACCAGCACAAAAAGGGAACAGAGCCGTCAGCAGATGTCCTCTGGCCTAGGAGCCAAGGACTAGGATAGGGAGACAGTTCCGTAGGGTGTTGCTGTCTCTTGGGAGTCTGTTGGCATTCTGGTTCCTTAAGGGATCCATGGTGTGTAGGTGCCGAGAAAGCCATTCTTTAGTTTGGGAGGTGAGTGACGCCCCCTAGAGTTGTTCCGGAACTACCAGTGTTGCCAGCTGGAGGGCATTGTGGTGATCTAACACCTACTTTCTGTCCCTACCTCCTGCCACTCAGCCTCTGCTGGTTTCTGGGTTTCTGGCTGGCCACCTCCTCACCCAGCCGCTCTGCTCCTAGTGGGTCTTATGGTCAGGAGCCCCTCCCCCTCTCCACTCAAGTCTTCCTGTCTCTGGGGTCCTGATTTATCACGCCCCCCATCAAGCCTGCTGCAGCGTGTGAGAAATCAATAGTGCAAATGGATTGAGGCCGTTCAGCGGGTCGACTCCCTTTGGGCCCCTCCAACTCCCTCGGGACCCTGTAAGTCATTCTGTCCCTTTCTGGCTTAGCATGGGCATAGACACACCTAGTGTACAGTTGTAGTCCCAACACTGGGCACAGGCACGCCGTCTCCATCGCTCACATATACCGGGCTGGTCTTAGCTTGACAAATCCTCCCGAACACTTATTTCCTAGTTTGGGTGGAGTGGGGTGGAGGGGCTCAAAGGGCAGCGGGCTGCCAGCCAGAAGTAGGGCGGGAGGCAGGTGGGTGAGGGAGACGGGGGAAGGAGCTAGAGAAGGGATTGGGTGACAGCCCACCCCATTGGCTTTGGTAACTCAATCCCTGGCCCCACCCTCATGATTTCCCTCCTGCTCAACAACTTCAGCAGCTGCTGGCAGGAGTGTGTGTGTGTGTGTGTGTGTGTGTGATGTGGGGGTGGGGAGGGTGAGAGGGGCTGTGGGGGCAGGGGTGCTGCCAGGACATGTTTAAAGGAGACTCATAGCATGGGTACAACTTGGGTGGCAGGAGGAGGTGGGGTAAGTCAGAGAGTGGGTGGTGAGTGATGGGCAGGGGGGCAGGCTTCAAGGGGGAGGGGCAGCCCTGCCCAAGGGTCTCACTAAACTTGTTGGCACCAGAGCAGAGCTAGTACCATGAGGCTGGGCAGTAGGGAGGAGGCGGGGGGCCAGCAGAGCCACAGTTCAGTCCTGGATGCTGAGGCCTGCCTTCACCAGGGGGCGCATGTGACCAAAGAGGGACATAGCTGGCCCCCTTCCCTGATCTTTAGGCCATGCCTGCTGGGCAGCACAGCCCGGAGAGTGACTAAGTCGCTTCTGTCCCCAGGCTGGCAAAGTACCAGACTCAGCTCTTCTCGGTAGGTGAGTCACTACCCTGGCATCTTACCCGGATGCGGCTGAGTCACCAGGCCATGCCCGCCTGGTAGGTGGGCATCATGCGAGGGCTAGGGTGGTGGTTATATGTGTACCCTCAGTGCCTTCTCCGGGCTCTTTCATCTCCTGGCCCTACCCATAAGCCCGCAGAACCAGGCAGGCATGCTGCTTCCCCCACAGGCTCTGTTGAGGAGGTAAAGGATGAAGTTGCAGGCTTCAGGATAGAGTGGGAGATGTTTGAGTTGAAGGGACAGGGGAGTGTGCTGGTGATGGCCATGGCGGGAGCCTGGCGCAGACAGCTGCCTTGGGATCTGCATTGACAAACTGCATGACCTTGGCAAAGCAATTCATTTTTCTTTTGTTCTATTTGTTTGTGACAGGTTCTTACTCCGTAGCCCAGGCTGGCCTGGAACTTACTAGGGTTGCCTAGAGTTCATGGCCATCCCCAGTCTCAGTCTCCCAAGGGCTGGGATGATAAGCGTGAAGGAGCACATTCAATTGGTTGGCGATTTCTTTGTGAGCCTCAGTTTCCTGTTCTGTACTATGGGTACAGGACCCATGTTGGACTGAAAAGTGGATCCAAGATAACCGTGAAGTACACCTTTTGGATACCTAAGCTGGGAGGCTGGGGAGGAGGAACGAGTTGAGGCTGGTTCTAGCAAGTACTTCTCACCTCACCCACCTCCAGGTGGTCTTTTTTTAAAAAAATAATACATTTATTTTTATTTTACATACATTGGTGTTCTGCCTACATGTATGTCTGTGTAAGGGTGTCGGATCCCCTGGAACAGGAGGAACAGACAGTTGTGAGCTGCCCTATGGGTGCTGCAAATTGAACCTGGATCCTCTGGAAGAGCAGCCAGCGAGTGCTCTTAACCGCTCAGCCATCTCTCCTGCCCCCAGGTGATCTTCGAGAGATGTCTTTCCCTACGCCCTCCTCAGATTCTGCTTAGTGCTTGCATGCCTGTGCCAATGTTCTCCTGCTCCCTCTTTAGGCTGTCCTCAAACTCCTAATCCTCCTGCTTCTACCTCCCTAGTGCTGGGATGCTGAGGTTACACACACACACACACACACACGCACGCACGCATGCACGCACGCACACACACACACGCACACACACGCACACGCACGCACACACACACCACCATGCTGACTCCATGCTGTACTTCGGTTGTTCTGTTCTCACTCTGTAGCCATGGCTGGCCCAAACTGGCCTGCAGCTTCAGCAGTCCTTGCTGGAGGATCCCAAGAGCTGCTGGTACAGGTTACAGGTGTGCGCTACCACCCCTGATTTAATGCTGCTTTGTAGGAGCCCCCCACAGGCTGCAACTCCTTTGACGGTTAGGAGCGGTTCCTGGACAGCTGTCCTTACCTGTCTGAGCCCTCTCTGGCCTTTGTTAGTCTGAAGAGGGACCCTTGTCCTGGGAAAGTGTCTCCCTCACCCCCACCCAGCCGGTCTCCTTTGTGCAGGGATAATAGAGGCCCTAGGACACCTCCCTTCCTAGACTCTTGCTATATTCTAAGTACTCTGTTCTCCTGAAAGGCGCCCCTGCCTCCTGGCCCCTCTACCTAGGAACTTCTGACTTCTGCAGTAGGAGGAGGGTAGGGCTGGACTTTGGACCTGTGGTATTGAGTGCCCTGGGCATGAAGAAAGCCTCCCAAAGGTGTGCAGGCCGTGTGTGCAATCTTGTATGTGTCTGACCTCCTATAGGAAGTGGTTTGTGTGAGCATGAGTTTCCTCCATCATTTCCACATGGATCTGCAACCACGGTACATTCTCTGCTTCATGACCTTGTATACACACACACACACACACACACACACGCACACACACACACGCCTGTTGTTGCTTTTTTGTGCTGGGGTGTGCATATCTGTCTTGGAGGTGTACACATTCACACCATGAACGTGTGTGGGGTTATGCCTTTTGTGCCAGGGTGTGTGTATAAGAGTGTACCTGAATCCATATGCTGGCAGGTGTGCCTGAAGGCTACCCATGTGGAGGCAGTGTAACTCTATGCATGCACACTTGAATTTTCCTGACCATAAACCTTCCCTCTTGGCCTCATAGGATACAGGCTGGGTGCAACCTGTGGGAGCTGGGAGCTAGAGGTGGACTGGCCTTAACCCCCTCTTAACCTGGTTCCTCACTTGGATGGAGGTCCCTGAAGACGGTGGGGGCTCTGACAGGACGGCTTAAGGGGGATGCAGGGAGGGGTGCGTGGAGGGGTGTGTGGAGGGGTGTGTGGAGGGGAAGGGGTTAAGCGTCGGCCTCCACATCTGGGAGCCATTGGCGCATTCTTGCCTGCTGAGCGCATGTTTGTGGATGGATCTGTACGGGACAGAACGGGGACGGGACGGGGACGGAGCAGGAGCAGGAGGGAGGGGCTGGGCGGGTGGTTAGCACCGGCGGAAACCCAGACAGGAGCTGGAGGCGGCTTTCTCTTCTGGCCCAGCGGGCGGGAAGGGCCTGGGGAAGCACAGCTCCCCTTTGCCTAGGCTAGTTTTCCCTTGCATCCGACCCATGGGCAGAGCGTCCCACCAACCTGGCCTGTGCTACCCTTTCTAGGCCGAGGAGCAGAGCCAGATCTAAGCGGGTTCAGCAACCGATGCAACGGTGGACAAAATTCAATATGAGTCTCGGACCTCTTGTTCCTAGTCTGAAAATCGGGCCACCTGGTCAGACTGAGCGTCTCTTGTCTAGGGTGGAGGCCTGGGCGTGTGGCACTTCCCTTTCCAGTGGGATGTCCTGTGTCCTGTGGGGGCACTTGCTACTTCACTGCCCAGGAACTCGGTGAGGGAGGCGCTCCATAGCGGACCCACCCTCCTCCGGTGGACTGCCAGTAGTGGGGACTTTAGCCTTCCAAATGGCTGGAAAGGGGCTTATGGCAACAGGGGACTGAGGTCTGCAGATGGAGTATGATTCAGATCCTGTCCTCCTGGAACATGTATGAACTGCCCTGGCCACTCGAGTGGAGTCTTCTAGGATGGGCCGGGGCGGGGGCGAGGGATGGGGATGGAGAGGGCTCCTGGCCAACCTAAGACCCGTCTTTTGGGGTGATACTTTTAGCTCCTCGGAGGAATTGAGTTGTTAGAAGTTTCCTCGAACCCACTCGAGCTGGAGAGGTGTTGGGGAAAGATATCCGGAAGACGTCCACTCTTTGTGCTTCGGTTTTGCAGATGAGAACTGTGAAGGTCCAGAGAAGGGAAGTGGCTTGCTCAAGGTCAGATAGCTTTCAGTTTCCCCTGGCCCCAGAGGACTGTGATTGGGAGAGACAAAGACTTGACAGCTGGGGCAGGAGTCAGTGCGTTCTCTTCCATATTACACCACCTCCTCTCTTCCCAGGTTTAGTAGGTGTGTGCGATGTGTGTGTGTCCCTGTGAGTGTGGGCGTGTAGCTGGGGGAAGGGAGTGTGTAGGATACCGCACTCTGAGGTTCTTTCTCTGCCGAGTCTTATTTTTATTCTTTTCTCTGAACTTCACACACACACACACACCCCTTCTCGCTCTGAATCTCTTTCCTGGCGTTTTGAAGGAGGATTCTCCCAGATTCCCACGGTCCAGCCGTGGGCTGGAAGCGTCTCCTTTAAGAATTGCCCTTCCCTGGGTCTATTAAGGAGAGAGGGGCGGGTGTGAGCCTGAGAACCCGCCCCCGGCTAGTGATTGGCCCGTGGCAGGCAGGGGCGGACTTGCGAGAGGGGGAGCCTCCCTCCCTCCCACCCCAGCTCCATACCCTCCGCCCCCCCACCCAGTCTGGGGCTCCGGGTAAAGTTTCAGCCTCCGCACGTGACTCGCCATGGCCGCTGCCGTCGCCCCGCGCCCCTGAGCCGCGGCCCCCCGGACGGCTCCTCTCCGAGGACCTCACACCCCTGACTCCTGGCAGCGCCGAGGTTCCGACTTGGGGCAGACGCAGTGCTCACAGACACCCAGACGGGTTGCATCCCCTCGCTTCGAGGTAACCTCTCCCCTGGGATCCTGGGGAGCCCTCGGCGCTCTCATGTATCGGGGCCCGGTGGCCTGCTCTGGATGGTAGTCGCGGGCGGGGACAGGGTGCCGGGCGGTTTCCACGGGAACCCGGGGTTCCCTGGGCTTCCCAGCTTGCCGCTGGCGTGTCCGGGGTTGGGGAGCCCCGTCTGCGCCGCATCTTCGCGCGCGCCGCCTTGAGGCTTCTGCGGCTGTCTGCCGCGCGTGTCCCCAGAGCTCCAGCCGTGGAGGATCCACCCGCCGGGGACTCTCTCTTTCTCTTCAAAACCAAACCAAACAAAAAGACTTCTGAAAACCTGTTTGGGGAGAGATCAGATGCCCAATGGACTAGCCCCCTCCAACTCTCTCTCCTGTTACCTGAGCCGCCCTGTGGTTTGGGGAGAATCAGCCAGGGGCCCACCCCCCACCAAAGGGATCTGGCTGGGGGGCGGGGCCCGCTCAGCTGGTGTCTCGGTTGGAGTGTGGGGGAGCCGTCAGAATTGGGTGCGGGAGCCAGTGCGGTTGGGTGAGATGCGCCTGTGTCTTGTGTTACTTGGAGGTTGTGGTAGCCTTTCGGGGTGAGGGAAGGACAGAGTAGGACCGGCCGACCTTGCTTTGCCGAGGATGTCTGGGATCTAGTGCCACCCACGAGGCTTGGAAGCTGCTAGCCAGATGTGTGTATGTTGAGGGGTGGTTGGCAAATCAGTTTAACTGTGTCCCCTTTCCTCTCTGGGCACTGCCCTGCTGTCAGACTGCTCGTGGGAAAGGGGGACAGATCCCCCAGTGCGCTAGGCTGGGGGTGGGGGCCACCTCATATGGAAATAATTTCAAAAACAACAACAAACTCAGTCTTGAGAAGTTTTTTGGATTTGTGTGTGTGTGTTTTTTTCACTGCCCATCCTTTCTTGGATAGGATGCCCAATGTATTGGCATGGAAGGGAGGGTACCCCCTGCTCCTACCTAGTGCCAGCTTCCGATTTTGAAGCCAGATTGCTACCCGCTGCCTGTGTGCTCTCCAACAGAAGTTTTCCTCTGCCCTTTGCTCTTTATTTTTTTATTTATTTATTTTTTTTTAAACTAGCTCCCAGTCCCTCTTCTGATCACCCTACCAGCATGGAGACTCAGGAGTGCCAGGCGTTTTCTGCAGCTGAAGGCTTCCCAAGGCACATTTTTTTGGGGGAGGAATTTTTGGGGACCTAGTATGGACTCCTAGGTCCTGCTAGAAAATTAGGGTTCAGGTCCCCAAACTCCTCCAACTTCTACAGGGCTTTGTGTGGAGACATAGCTGGGGAAAGCCCTACGTTGGAGTGGGGGTGGCCTGGAGCCTTGGGGCTTCCCCTGGGAGGGGTGGAAATGGGTCTGGGGACGGGAACGTGAAGAGGGTTTGGCGGTAGATGCTTGGCTCTTCCTTGTGAGGAAGAGGGATGTGGAGTCACAGAATTTGTAGCTGTGAAAGATGGCACACGGGGAGGGGCTGGCACACCAGTGCTGCCTGGGAGTCTGGGCCATGAAGCAGAGAGGTCAATAGGGTCAGACTCAAGTAGGCCCTTGGGAGCCTACAATGGTGGATTTGCAGGCACTTGGAGGGTGTGAGCCTGCAGTGTGTGCAGAAGGCCATCACTGCAGGGGTTCCTCAGATCTAGTGGCAGACACTGGGCTGGGAATTAGCTTTGTCCTGCCACAGCCTTGAATCTCATCTCTGTAGTCTGACCCTAAATGCACCTGCTGGCACCCTGGGATACCTCCTAGTTCACCTCCTACTCCTAACCATGTGGCAGCCTGGCAGGAAGCTAGCTGTAGGCAGCCTGATCACCCCTGTGCCTCCCCCGATGGGCACAGTCACCCACTCATGCCGTGACGTTGTTCCTGCCAGCCTGTCTAGTGTGGGGGTGAGAACATTGAGTGGCCTTCAGGTCTGTTTGGGGGACACAGACAGACTCAGATGAACTGCCCTTCCATTAACCGTTTGGTCTCTGAAGCTAGCTCCACCTTCTGGGATCTTTCTCACCAGGTCACTCTCTTTCAGATTCTGAGGTTGTAGGTGGATTGTCCTCAGAACTGTGTGACATGAAATAAACTTTAATACCCTGTCCCCTGGGATACCTCAGCAGGGCACCTTTTCTCAGATGGAGAAGAGAGGAGTTGAGCCCAGCCCGCAATGGGGTCTTCTGGGGAGCAGCCCTGCCTAGGATTTAGGGTGATGGACATGGAGGAAAGTAATCCTACCCCTTGACAAATAAGCACAATCATCCACTCCCAGCACCCCACACCCCTGTGTGGTGGCGGTGGTTTTAGGAGTGTGGGAAGCTGGCAGAGCCTCTGGCGAGATGACCAAGGTTGTCATGACTTACTGAGTCTTGAGAAAGAAGTGTAGCCAGTGATACCCCCAGCTCGCAAGGCTTTGGCTCCGCATCCTAGCTGACGCCTGTTGTCTTTCCTCCTGTTTCCCTCTCCGCCCTCCTGCTGCTGTCTGGAGCCCACACGGTTTCTGTGGGATGTGGGGGCAGGGCAGCTCTGGATCTCCTTGTGTGTCCAGGAGGTGTCCTGGGAATTGGCAGGATTAGTTGAGGGTGTCTGGGTGTCCCTACAGGGTGGGCGGCATGCAGGGACCTGGCCCAGAGTGTGAGAACGTGTCAGCGTTGGTGTGTGTGTCCCTAGTCTAGTTTGGGTGTGGGTGTCTCTTGCTTCGTCTGGATCTTGTCTGGATCTTGCCTCCCTCTCTGGTCCTCACCTCCCCTCCCCACTTACCCTTCCCCCCAAGCCGGGACCGCCTGCCTGCTCTCCCCTCACTGCAACTGGAACCTCCCTTGCCTGTTCCAGGAATTTGGTAAGGAGGAGGAAGAGGCAGGCAGACAGACCTCCCACACTCTAGTCCGCCCGCTGGCCTGGCATCACAGGGAAGATGAAATAGGTGCTGCTGTAGGGTTTGCCTGGCCACACTGGTCCCTCCATCACACGGGGGCTGCCTCCTGCAGAGGCCCCTCCTTGGCCCTGAGATACCTCCTTCCATTTAGCATCCTGCCCCCAAAGGCCCCTGCTGGACCTCCAGGCTCCACACTCAGTCCCAGTAGCTGGTGGGGGATTAAGCTGCTGCCAGCCTGGCCAGCACCTGTTGCCAACTCCAGCCTTGTAACCGGAGCCGGCCAGTGAGGGGCTGCAAAATGACAGGTGGAATTTCTCCAGCCAGCCCCCAGCCTCTTCTAGATAGCCTTTCCTTTCTGGTGGGAACTAGCAAAGCCCATCCCCCTCACCGCTGCAAGTGTCAGTCACCCTCATCTGAGCCTTGATGCTCCTGTCCTGCCCAAGGACCCTGTCACCCCATCATTGGATGCTGTAGAGTAGGCAAGAGTAGGCAGTCCTCCTTCAAGTTCTTAGAGTTCTCCTGCCTTGACAGGGCAGTGTGTGTGTGCGGGTGCGTGTGTGTGCACGCGCGCTTGTGCGCATGGGGGGGCCGATGGGGTGGTTCTCTTAATGTTTTAATTGCATAAAAAATTGGGAGCTCAGCTCTCGGCCGGTGGGGAGTCTGGGGCTGGCCGGCCGCCCGGCTTGAGCTAAATATAGCCTGGGACATCTGCAGAGAAGGGGAGGGGAGTGGAGGGAGGTTCCATTCCCCTCACCTCAGCCAAGGTGCCCTCGTCTGGGCGGGCACCTTGGAACCCGGAGCGGGGATTCCTCAGCACAAAAGGCAGGGGAGAGGTGATAAGGGCTGGGTCTTTGGGAATTTGCCTGCTTGGAGGCCACCGGAAAAACCAGAGTGAACCCGGAGGCTCAGGATAGGACCCAGGTGGAGTATGTGGGGTACTGGTTAGGTCCTCTGTCCCTGGCTCCCTCTTCCTCAAAGCTGCCTAAGGTCAGGCAGCCTCAGTGTGTCACGGTGACCTCCTCGCTGTGTGCCCACGAGTACACACCTATTGGGTAGCCCCTCCCGGCCTCTCCCCCTAGAGCAGCTGTCCCTTGGGCTCTATCTACTGCAGGTCCCCAGCCCTCCTGTCCCTTGCCCCACAGCGAAACCTTCAGCCCAGGAATCGAGACTTGAGAAAGGGAAGCTGTGGCATGGAGTTCTCTGATCTCCAGTCACGGCAGGAAGTGGGGGGGGGGGATGAGGGAGGGTAACCTTGAGTGGCAGGTGGAGGAGGGCACTGTGAGCCCTGTATGAACTGACTGTGCACAGAGTGGTGGTGAGTGGCCACCCTCCTCGCGGACCCCTCTTCTCTCCAGCTCTAGGAAGGGGAATGTTGGGGGACGACAGCTGATTCCCCAAGGGCTGCAAACTCTCCTGTCTGCAACCCCCTAACAGTGAGGGGGGGGGAAAAGTCTTCCTGTCACGTGCTCATCACTTCCTGTCCCACTGTGGTTCCTGGGATGTTTGTTGTTGGTTGCCATGGTAATGGCCGCCGTAGGCACTACCCCTGGTTTTTGTGGGGAGGGACCTGCCCCTCCCCTCAAGGCCCACAATTGGGAGGGGGGTGCTTGAGAGGCCTGTCTAGGGGGCCCTTTCAAGCCGAGCCTGTGTGTGTGGTCTCTGACGACTCAGGTCCCTTAGGGCCCTCAGACTTCTGTCTGTGGGAAGGAGCCACCTACTCAGACTGTGTTGGGAAGACCGACTTTGTGGCCTTGACTGTGAGACTGATTTAGTGGCCGCGTCCCCTCAGTCTGGGTCCTTCTGCCTTTTCAGACATCACTTCATAGACCCTACCTTCCTCTCTCCTCTCCTTCCTTCCTCCCCGGAGAGTTTGTGGCTTCTAGGGATCCACGCTGGAATATACAGGACTCAGGGCCACCGGGTCCCTGATGTTTTATGGGTGGGGAAACTGGAAGTGGCTCTGCAGCCAGCTAGCTCTCCCACACATGGCCACACCAGCTTCCCTCGGCTTCAGCAAGCTCTGTGCTTGAAGGGAAGGCCCAAGAGTTCAGTGACCAGATTTTCCCACCTAATGTGGGGTTTCTCTGCTTGGCTAGGCATGGAGAAGAGAAGAGATTCCCCCTGGTTCTTGCTGGACTAAGGGGCTCCCTGTGGCGTAGGAAGTTCCTGGGGGGTCCTAGGGTGTGGGGTTGTGGGGCAGGGCCCAGTCTGACTCAGGCCTGGTCTGGGGTCAGAGCCAAAAGGATATCCTGAGGTAGTGGGGGGTGTTCCTGGCTTCCCTGCAGCTTGGGTCCCCAGGGAGGGATGACGGGAGGGGACTGGTAGCATCTAGTTCTATTGGCAGCGTGCCCTAGGATTCAGAGTGCAGCAGGCTGGGGTTGGGGCTGAGCTGAGGCAGGAGTGGGGACTGATGTAGCCCATCTCTACTTGCAACTGCTTGGTTTGCTTCTCTGATCATCCCCCCCTACACGCACGCGCGCGCGCACACACACACACACACACACACACACCTTCCCCTAATTATGAGTGAACTGTGCTACACACACACACACACACACACACACACACACACACACACACACCTTCCCCTAATTATGAGTGAACTGTGCTTCCTGCATGGTGGAGAGGAGGTGGAGAGGGGGCAGCTGCCAGGGTGAGGGTGGGGAAAGCCCCATGCCAGGCTGGGTATGCACATCGGTGGTTTCCAAGCTGGGGGGTCCCCTTTGTGCCCGTTTGGTCCCCCATAGGTAGAGTTACTGTTGTACTGTCCACGTACTCCTGTGGTCTGGCTGTGGCCAGAGCAGGCTCATTTCTTCCTCTTCCTGTTTTCTTCCTTCCCCATGGGTTGGCCCCCTCTTCCTGTAGGCCTGGGCTGCCCCCTGCCCTTTCACCTACTCTCTGCTTCCATGGAAGACCCAGTTACAGCCCTGGTTCTGGATGGGCCCCTCAGCCGCCCTGGGCGTGGGAAGTCCTGAATGACTGTGTCCCTCAGGCCCTCTGGTGTATGGTCTCTGATGTATCGGGAAGATCCCCCACTCTTTTCTCTTGGGGCCCAACTTGTCCTGGCCTCACGGTCTCTGATTGATCCTCATGCTTGCTGGTCGTTCACAGCTGATGCGTGGCTTCTGGGAGCTAGGGAGGAGGTTTGGTTTTGTGGAGTATACATTGGAGATGGATGAGAACCATTCTCGTGGGACAAGGCGCTGTGTCTGAATGTGGGCAGCGTTGGTTGGCATCCAGCAGCAATATTCTGTGTTCTTACCTCACTGACCCCCTAAAGAGGACACGCTCTGGGGCAGGTGGCCCTCCAGGCCTGGCTGTACAGACACATGCTGCCAGTGTATAGGGCTGGTGGGGGAAAATGCCTTCTGCCTGGCCCTGCCTTCGGTAGTCTTTTCCCTTAGCGAGGCTGAGTGGGCCTGTGAGGAGGACCAGAGCTGTTAGTGGGAGGATCTTTGGAGAAAAGAGGGTAGTGCTCTCTTCTGCTTCCCAGCCCTGTCGGCCTGCAGATGAAGCCGCGTGGGGGAGGGGAGAGGTTGTGGCTTTGTGTGTACAAGGATTTTTCCTGGAGAGCTTATAAATAGCCTGAGCCCACTGTTCTGGTTTGAAATCGGTCCTGTCCTGCCCTGCCCCTGCCTGGCCAGCTCAACTAACTCCTGGCAGGGTTGGGGGTCCCGGGGTGGGTAGGGCTCCCCTGTCTTGCCAGGGCTGGAGGCCCTCCCACCCAAGTGGAGTTTGAGCTCTGTGTCTCATTTGCATATGATTCATTAACTGTCTAGAATGTTTAGGAAACCCCCATCTCCCCTTGTTTTAAGCTCCCCAGCCTTAGCCCCTTCAGAGGGAACTGCTTGGGGCTGAGGGTGTAACTTGGTTGGTGAAATGCTTGTCTGGCATGCAGGAAGCCCTGGGTTCTGTCCCCAGCACCACGTAAACCTGTCACGGCTTGGTGCCCGTCTACCCTGGAGGGTTCTGGAAGTGGAGGCTGGAGAGTCTGCCACTCGAGGTCATCAGCTAGTTTGAGGGCAGCTTGGGCGGCAGGCCCTGTCTCAAAGCGTACAGATAAAACAGAGGGAACTGCTTGACTTCTGTCCCTGGAGACCCCTCGTTTTGAAGGAGCATAGGGTGGAGAGGATGCCTGAAGATGGGAGGCCTGGGAGGTGGCCTCGCTGGGTATGGGGGCCTCGAAGTTCTCTCTCCCCAGGACATGGGAGGAAATGGTCTATTTCTCTTCCCTCCCCAAATCCAAAGATTTCCCTTTTTCGGTTTGTGAAATGCAAGAAGGGAATTTGGGAAAGGGTTGTGGTCAGGCCTCTGCCCACACCCCAGATATCCCTCCCCCCCACAATCTTCCCCTCCGTCTGGGAGGAAGCAGATCCAGAAAAATGGGTAGTGTTCCCTGCTAGCCTGTCCACAGATGCTGGCCCTGGTTGGGGCAAGTCCAGGGAGAGGAGGCAAAGAGCCCAGGGACCCCAGGTGATGGTGAGAGATGGGGGAGGAGAGAGACCTAAGTACCTTCTCTGCGCCAGGCAGTGCTTGGTGCTTTCCAGGACCTCGTTCATCAAGGGAGACAGTTCACAGGCAAGCAAACATACTCAGAGAGGTTAAGCTACTTGCCTAAGGTCACCCAGAGTGGCAGAGCTGAGATTGGGCTCTGGGTTGGTTTTGTTTCCCCCATCTTCATGGCTGCCACAACTCTCACTTTTTTTCCCCCTAAAAGGTGTGACTTCGGAGTGATGTGTATGGTGTGTGTGTGTATGGTATGTGTGTATGGTGTGTGTGTGTATGTGCGTGTGTGTGTGTATGGTGTGTGTATGTGTGTGGTATGTGTGTATGGTATTTGTGTGTGTGCGTGCGTGTGTTGTGTGTATTATAGTGTGTGTGTATGGTGTGCGCGCGCGTGCGTGTGTGTGTGCGTGTGCATGTGTGTGCGTGAGTGTGTGCACGTGCATGTGTGTGTGTGTGTGTGTGGTTGACCACTGATCGTGATACCTTTTAGGGATTTGGGATTAAAGAGCTCCTTAAGAAGGGGTGCGTGGCTGGCGGCAGCACCCTTGCCTCTTCTCTTCCTGCTGGGCTGGACTGGAGGGACAGGTCTGTGGTTTTCTCTCTCAGGCAGGGCGCCCATGAACAGTGGAGGTTGCTGGCAGAGGGTGGGGGTTATATGTGGGTTGCTTGTTTTCCCTCTTTGGTGCCGGTTTAAATTCTCTGGCCAGGGCGCAGGCATCTCTGTGAGGGTCATGGCTCCCAAAGGACCTTGCTCCACCCCCTCATCATCTTTGCCCGTGCCTATCCCTGTTCCCTGGTCAGCCTGGCTCTTGGCCCATTTCTGTGACCTTTGTCCTGCCCTCACTGGAGAGCCCTCCCTCTTCCCCTCAGGGAGCTGTAGAATGTTGCCTTGAAGTGTGTAGGCCCAGCTGGGTTAGGATACTAGAGGTTCTGAGGCCTTCCAGACTCTTCCCCAGAGTTGTATGTTTGGGGCAGGCTGGTGGCTCGAGGTCTGACACAGTTTTAACCTCTTCAGGGGGAGACTTGAGGCATTCGTTCTAAGGTAGATACCATTAGTCTTCTGTGTGGGCAAAGCTGGCTTCTAGAATATAAAAGACTGGGCCTCAAAAGTCTGAGCCAGGTGTCACCCACCTCCACAAGCAAGGTCAGAATGCCTTTAGTTTGAAGTGAGCTTTCTGGCTTCAGTCGTGGGTCTGGTGGCCTCTCTTTGGTCAGCTGTCTCCTAGGCCTCACCTATCGGTAGGTAAGCCTCTGTGTAGACATGAATCCTCCTGAGGGCTGGCCCACAGGGAGGACCTCGGGGCATCTCCTAAGCTAGACTGTGCACCTTGAGAGTTGTGTGTCTCTGGGAGTCTATGCAGGAGCCCATGCTCATAAGTCCTGGAATGCACTCATGTGTGGTTGGGGCCAGGTGTGGAGAGATGCTCCAGGCTGCTCTGCTCCCATGCGGCCTTTACACAGGCCAGGGCAGCAGGCTTGCTCTCGCCCACCCAGATGTTTTCTGTAGGCTCGCATGGGTGACTTTCTGCAGGTGTGTGGCATGGCGTGTCTGTAGGGGGTCCAAGTGCAGACACTTGTCCTCCTTAGCGTGGCTCTTGCAGCCTGTGCTCCTGTTGTATGGGATCCCATAGGAGATGGGGGACGGAGCGGCCACTGGCCCTGTAGGTGGAACCCCCATTTTTCTCTGACATCAATCATCGGTCTGTGAAGGGAAGGAGGCACCTCATTCAGGAGTGAGGCCCACCCAGTGGTTAGTGTGATGAATCACTAACACAGTGCGGATTTCACTCCAGCGGAGCTGTTGCTTCCGTGGCCACTACCTGCCCCCTCTCTCTCTGTCTTCCTCAGTTAACAGAAGACACAGGCTGGGACAGTCGACAGAGGACACAGTGCTCTTCCACAGTGGCCTTGGCAAGAACCCCCCATTCTCATCCTGGTCCCCAGGCAAATGCTGGTTATATATGCATCCTCCAGTCTCCAGGTTTAGGCCTGGAGCCTGGAGCTTGGAACCTGGTATGTCCTAAGTGTGGGGAGTAGGGATGGAGGGGGAATGTTGGAAAGGGATGATTCTTCTTCTTCTTCTTTTTTTTTTTTGTTTTGGTTTTTGGTTTTTCAAGACAGGCTCTCTCTGTGTAACAGCTCTTGACTGTCTTGGGATTCGCTTCATTGACCAGGCCTGCCTCGAATTCACTGACAGAGACCCACCTTCCTCTGCCTTCCAAGTGCTGAAATTAAAGGTGTGCGCCACCACCACCCAACTGACAATTCTTTTTTTTTTTTTTTTTTTGATTTTCGAGACAGGGTTTCTCTGTAGCTTTTTGGTTCCTGTCCTGGGACTAGCTCTTGTAGACCAGGCTGGCCTCGAACTCACAAAGATCCGCCTGCCTCTGCCTCCCGAGTGCTGGGATTAAAGGCGTGCGCCACCACCGCCCGGCACCAGCTGACAATTCTTATTTTAGGTCTTTGTAGCTCTATTTTTTTTCTTTTAAAGAGGTTTATTGCGATAGTAACTCACTTGCCACAAAATGCACCCACTAAAAGTATACAGTTTAAGCCCCACGTGGGTGGTGTACACCTGTAATCTCAGTCCTCTGGAGGTTCAGACAGACGGATTGCAAGTTCAGTGCCTGCCTGAGTGATTTAGTGAGTGAGACCTTTTCAGAAAGAAGCCAGAAAGACAAGGAGTTGCAACTCTGCACAGTTGCATAGCTCTCGCCTGTGTATAGAGAGAGTCACGCAGCTACCACCACCATCGCTGCCGCCACCACCGACGTTAAAACGTTTTCACCGCCCCCGAAAGTTCCCATACCCACTAGCAGCTACTTCTCCTTTCCCTGACATTCACACCCTAGTTCCTAGTAACCACAAATGTATGCACACAGATCTGCTCCTCCTGGACATTCTTAGAAGTCGAATCATACAACATAAGCATCTTGGGCAACTGTGTTGCTCTCAGGGCTTGGCCATGCTTGTGTGTCAGTTCTTTGTTCTCTTTTTTTTGGCACAGAAATACTCTAGCGTGTTGGGTGTCCACCATTTTAGACCTCTGGGTCGGTTTCACTGCTCACTTAGGGTCTATGATCCTGATCTGAGCGTGCACACACAAATCTTGTTGCGCAAGGCTTCCATTGTCTTGTTTCTTGTGTAGATACCCAGAAATGGACTTGCTATGTACGCGAGTGCCATGTTTAAGGTTTTGTTTTGTCCTTTTTTTTTTTTTTTTTGAGACAGAGTTTCTCTGTAGCTTTGGAGCCTGTCTTGGAACTCACAGAGATCCACCTGCCTCTGCCTCCCGCATGCTGGAATTAAAGGCGTGCGCCACCAAGCCTGACCAAGTGTCTTTTTCTTAATAACTCTCTGTCGCAGTTTTTGAGATAGTGTCTCTGAGTGAACCTGGAGCTCACTGCTTCAGTGAGGCTGGACAGCCAGCAGATGTCAGACAGCCTTCTGGCTCTGCTTCTCCAGCTCCGAGGTTGCAGGTGTGTGACGCTGTGCCTGGCTTTTTGCTGGGTGTCTAAAATCAGGTCCTCATGCATGTATAGCAAAACATTTACCAACAGAGCCAAATCCCTGGGCCCTGTTAGCTGGTCCCAGCCATCCTAGTGTGTAGACATTTTGGAGTATTCTTGGATTAGTACCTGACAAGGGGACAGACGGAAGTAAGACCTGGTTTTGTTTGGCTGTGATTAATTTTGTGTCTCTTCTATCATATGTATATATGATACATTTATGTGTGTATATTTGCAGCACATGTCCCTACACATGTGTATAGATTTGTGTATAATCTACACTCAGACCAACTTGAAGAGCCCTTAGCTCTGTTTCTCCCTATCTGGCTATGTATCAGAATCTGTAGGTCCCAGCTGTGTCTCTACCCCAAGGTGTTATCTGTTTCTACCCTCTGGCCTCAGCTCTTCAGATAGGGTGTGGATGGATCTGCGTACACACTGGCAAGGGTAGCATCTGGTCTTGTATGTCCTGTCCACTTACTCCCTCATCCCCTGGGTGTCGTTTTCCTGACTTAGGGCTTCCTGGGGCCACCTGTACTGTTCGGTATTGGGAATGTTGCCTAGGAGACCTGGAGATCCATTCCCCTGCGTGGATATGGATTTGGGTCTCCTCCTCAAGGGAGGGATGTTCTGATCTGGGATGCTGGGTCTTGTTTAGGGGGGAAGTGGTGTGAGAGCCCCCCTCCACTTAGGAGTCATTTTTCTGAGAAGTGCCCGTGCTTTAGGGAAGCGGCTTCTCCCCCCTCCCTGCCAGCACGTTCTCTGTATCTTGACCTCAGGTAACCCACACTGGGGGAAGGAGAGCCAGCTGCTTGCCTCAGCTGCACTGATCTTTGGGGTGGCACTGTGTGGACCCTTTCCCAAGCATTCTGGGTGAGAGGCCCTCCCATACTCTGGGCCCTGTCCCCATAATCCCAGCCTGGCTGTGCTATCCTGCCACCCCCAGCAGTGTCTGGGCCCTGGTCCTAGGCTGGCCCTGCCAGCCAGGAATGGTGCCAAGTGTCTGCTCAGCTGGGTGCCACAGGAAAATCTCTGGCTGCCCAGGTTGGGGAGCGCCGTGGGGAATCCCATGCGCCTGCTCAGTACCCACTTACCTGCCTTTCCTCTTTCTGCAGCACCGCAGGACATGCCACCCCCCAGCCGCCTAGCTGGGGCCCTTCTGGGAGTGGCATCCTTTTTGACACCCTGAAGACCAGCTCTGGACCTTCCTACAGAAGTGTCTGCTCACAGAACTGCTTAACCAAAGGACCGACTCTTGGGACATCCCCCAGTCCACCTGGCCCCTGGCTAGGGAGGGGGCTCCAGAAGGCTGAAATTAACTCACTCACTTTGGACTGCAACTCCAGGGACAGAACGGGGTGGGGGTGGGCTGACCACCCAAACCCCCTCTGGGCCCAGGCCCCATGCCCGGAGGAGGAGAGACCGCGTGAAGCGTATCACAGCTGCCTGCCAGACTGTTCGCCTGCCCTTCTGACTGTGACCGCTTGGCATGGCCAGCAATAGCAGTTCCTGCCCAACACCTGGGGGCGGGCACCTCAATGGGTACCCGGTGCCCCCCTACGCCTTCTTCTTCCCCCCTATGTTGGGTGGACTCTCCCCTCCAGGCGCCCTCAGCAGTCTCCAGCACCAGCTTCCAGTTAGTGGATACAGCACACCATCCCCAGCCAGTAAGTCTAGGTGGGGAGGCTTGGGGGAGGGAGTATGGAGGGGGGCAGGCCCCAGGATTGGGGTTCCTGGACACGTCTGTTCCGCTGGAGGCACAGTGAGTGACAAGGTCTTCTAGACTAGGGGGGACATGGTGTGTACGGGTGCAGGGTTGGAGGGGGGGCTTGACGATGGTCCCACTGCTCTTAGCTTGTTTGATGTTGGGAGTGGTAGAGAAAAGATGAAACCATTTGGTTCCTTCCTACTGTTGTTGTCCCCCTTTGTCCCTTGTGTCCCTGGTGCTATGCTATTGAGGGCCTTATAAATAGCTCTGAGGAGGGATGGATGCAGAGGCTGAGGTGGATAAACAAACCTCTCAGCGTTGGGGGAAATGACAGCTCAACACTGCGAGAGTGAAACCCACCTCCACCCCACCCTCTTCCAGTACTCTGAGGGAAAGGGCTTCAAGAGACAGCCCAGGGCAGCTCGGCACAGCTGGAGCCCGTGCAACACCCGCCCCCTCTGCCCCGCAACTCCCCCGCCCCCGAAGGACAGGGAGGGACTCCGTGGGGGCTTTCTGCCTGGACTCTGACCTTGGACACATGCATTGGCTTGGCAGGGCTTGTGTTTTCTGCCTCTACCCTCTGCCATGAGGGTCACAAGTTGGCTGGGCGAGGGTCTCAGTACCCTTCCCTAGCTGGCCAAGCCAGGTAGTGGGAGGTGGCAGTGGCTATAGCCAGCTGGCAAAGTCCAGGCTCAGGGCCTGCCAGGCCGCTTACAGTAACTCTGGCCCCCAGGGCCCAGCTGGGCTCCAGGCCAGAGCCTAGGAGGAGGGAGCTGGGCCTGGCCTGGGGCAGGAGGGGGTGGGAAGCAGCAGAGCAGGCCATGGCTGGCTGGCTGGCTGGCTGGTCAGCTGCTGACCTGGGAAACGTGTCCCACCTCTCCTGGTTGGCAGGGACCAAGCACCCTGCCTGGCACCCACTGCCCCTCCCACAGCCATTGGCAAGTTGCCTGGCACCACTGCCCTGTGTGCCTGGCTGGGCTGGGTCAGTGCCCCCTTCTTGGTGTGGGGGTAGCACTCTCTCCCCGGAGCCAGGGAGTCTCTTTGTCCCTGGGGCAGGCTCTTGCTGGGCGCCTCACTGCCCACAACTGGCCGTCTGCCCACAGCCACCACTGCTTCCTGGATCGCCGCCTCTGGCCTCTGGCTTTGTCGCAGCCCCCTCCCTTCCAGGCCCCACCAGCCTTCAGGAAGAGATAGGCTATGCCCATGTTCCTTCCCATCTCCAATCCCTTATGCAGCTGAGCTACGGAGCAGACAGGTACTACCTCATTTCCCCCCTGCTAGTAATGCCTCAAGCCTTCACCTTTGATTTCTACCCCTTCTCCCCACCTTAATAGGGGAGTCGGAGAACCCCGTTCTGTTCTGGTTTTCTAGTCTGTGCTGCTGATGGGGAGACCAGAGTGTTGGGGATTGGGCAAGTGCACCTATGTAAAAAACATCCCTGCAGCCTGGAGGTGGTGGCGCACACCTTTCATCCCAGCACTCTGGAGGCAGAGGCAGGTGGATCTCTTGAGTTCAAGGCCAGCCTGGTCTGCAGAGCAAGTTCCAGGCTAGCTAGGACTACACAGAGATACCCTGTCTCAAAAAAACCAGAACAGATGCTCTCTGCATTTGAAGGGAGCTGGGAGAATTATACTTTCTTCCAGGGTGGAATTTTTAAGAAGCAAAGGAGTCAGGGGTCCTGCAAGCTGGTACTAGTGACCGGCTTTTCCTTTTCCATGTGCTGGTAACAAGGGGCTGGACAGACAGACTCCCTGGAGGGGCCGCAAGAGGATTTGGGATCTGACCCCTGTGAGAGATAAAGTAAATTCTCTGCCTTCCTCTGAGTGTTGCAAACACCTTCCTCTTTCTTAGAGGTGGGTGGGGAGAGCCCCCACCCTCGTAACCTACTTCCAGGGTGGGGTGCCCATATACCGGGCAAATGGCAGCCTTCTTTGGCTTTCTCCACCCAGGTTAGGCAATGCCCTTTTCCTGCCCCCTCCTCTGTGAGCTTGTGGGTTTCCCACCCCTCCCCCTCTCTAGTAAACAACAACATCTCTTCCTCCCTACTCCCCAGCCTCTGAGCACCTTCTAGGACTAGGGGCCAGAGGCCTGGCCTTGGGTCTGAGACAACCAGGCATCCCAACCCCCTCCTGCTGTGCACTGGGTGCCTGGAAGCAGCTCAAAAGTTTACAGCTTTAGCCTCTCCTGGGACTAGCACAGGGGTCAGGCAGTTCCTGGAGGCGGGAGGCCTTTCCTTCCAGCTTGAAGCAGTGATGTCCCCGGTGACCTCCCAGGCTCCCTGCTCCAGTCCCACAAGCACATAGCTGTCTAGATGGCCTCCCCTACCTGGCCCTCTTGCGAGGTTGCACCTTAGGTGTCTTGCATGAACTCTGAAGAGAACAGGTGACCCGTGGGAGGACCAAAGGCCTCTTCAGGTCACCACGGGGAGGCTAGGTATTGTCCTGCTGCTAGTCTCCTAGGGAACCAGGGTGGAGGCCCCAGAGATAGCACTAGACTCCTGTCCCCTTTGTTGGTTGGCCCCTGAGGCCTGGTGTGTTTACTGTGGGAGGTCAGGGTTGTGTGGTTTGGGGGGTGTGGGTGTCAAGGCTGAGTATGTTGAGGAGGGGGATTAATGGCTTGTGTATACTACGTGAGAGTGTTCTAGAATTCAATGTGTTTGAAGAGAATCAAATCCGGAGCTGAAGAGGGGAATGTCAGCCTGTATGTACGCTGGGACTGTGTGTTTGTGGGGGGGGGCATGATTTAGGGCAGAGGTGTCGTGGTTTAAGAGCCTAAGGGGGCGTGACCTTCCTTCAGCTTGTGTTTGGGAAAGGGAGCAGTATCTCTGATATTCTTGTTTCCCTGCCTGAGGACAACTAAGACAATGGTCTTCTTAGGCACCCTTGGAATTCCCTGGGCTTCAGGGGTGTCACTTAGATGGAGATCTCTTTGCCATGTTTCCTCCTCTGTACCACAGGGACATTACCAGATTCCTAAGAGGGCCAGGTTAGGCTAGCATATCCGGAGAGCACACTTGGTGTGTGCTGGGCATGTGACCCCACAGAACGGGAGGCACCTGCCGTGGGTCGGGACTTTGTCTGTACTTTAAAAACCTTCTAGACTGTTCCAGTAGAGGCACCTTGCACTCGTTGACAAAGGAGGATAGAAGATGCAAGGTGGGGCAGGAGAGATGGCTCAGTGGTTAAGAGCACTTGACTGCTCTTCCAGAGGTCCTGAGTTCAATTCCCGGCAGTCACATGGTGGCTCACAACCATCAGTAGTGGGATCAGATTCCTCCTGGTACACATGAAGACAGTGCGCTCGCATACACGAATAAAGAAGTCATAAAAAAAGATGGGCGTTTACAATACAGTAGAACTGCCCTGAAGACTGTTTCCCACCATCCAGACAGGCAGCTTTAGAGGGAGACTGTGGGGGGACGTTTTGGGTCGTGGGGAGAGTTTTGGGGCCTTAGTGCCATTGTTGAATCTTGTCCAGGTTGCTGGAGACCCCGCCTCTGACTTCTCCCAGTAGGGGGCGCAGAGAAGGCCACGTTCATTCTTGCCTCCTCCTGTGTTTTGGACTTGGGGACTGGAGAGGAAGATAAGAGGCCCAGGGAAAAATCTCCATCCTGCCCTGGAAGCTGTGGATACAATCTGTTCACACCCCCGCCCAACCCCACTCTGCCCTCTTGCAGTCCAGTAAGAACATGAGTTTGCAGAACACAGCGGCCGCCGCCTCCTCCCATCCCAGGACAGATTCTGAAGGAACAGAGTGTAAAAGCCATAGTTCCTATTCAGATTTTGTTGCAGTTTGAGAGATGGGGGGGGGGGGAGATAGAAGCAATCAATAGAAGAATTGGGACAGGAACCTGAGAGGCGGCTACAGATTTTCCTTCCACGTGTTGGCTGGATACGTGTCTAGATATGGGGCTGTTGTCCCCCTCCTCCTCCCCGTCTTCTCAGTGCCCAGGCCTCGGAAGGTGGGGGTGGCGAGCTCTTCTCCGCATCCCCCGTTCTGCTGTTTCCCCCAGCTTCTCTCCACTCTTTTCAGTACAGTAAGAACCACAGCCTCAGGGACAGGGTGCCGCCTAGCTATGCCTTTCTTGGGGTCCAAAGTGCAGTCAGCCAAAAGTCCTTCCACACAGGGTTTTCATTGAAAGTGGGGCACCTCACTCTTTATCTCCCAGGAGGGAGATGTACAGGCTATCTTAGGGTAGGATCCCCGCATGGATTGGGAGAGGGGACCCAGGGAAGGAAGCCTGTCATCCTCTCTTCCTCTTAGGCCAGTCAGGGCCTCAGGCATCGTATCCACCTCTTGCCAAGCCGTGTGTGCCATGGGGGCTGTGCCAGTGCAGCCCAGGGCTGCCTTTGGATGTGTGTTTGGGACTGTAGCATCCGTATGTGTGTGTGTTTGGGACTGTGGCATCTTCATGTTGTATGTGTTGGGGAGGGGGCAATAGAATCAGTTAGAAAAAAGAGGAAATGAGAACCTTTTCCAAATTATTAAAGTTGGGACAGTGCCTTCTTCAATAGTCAGGATAGTCTGGGGGGGTGGTCCCTTAGCCCTGGTAGCATTAGGAATCCAGGTTCTCCCCTGCACAGCTGAACCCCAAGCTGCTGAACATGTCAGCCAGCCCAAAGGCTCATGCTGCTCCCCTACTTGCTAACGGACAGAAGTCTTTCTAATGAGCAACCTTGGGCAGGTCATTCAACCTTTCTCTGAATCTTTTTGCCCTTCCAATCTGCCTCTGGCAGGCTGCTTGCTGCGAGGCCATGGTGACCTGCTTGCTGGGTATGGCCTCCAGTAGCTTCAAGTACCTTGAAGAGCAGTGAGGACAAGGGGCGGGGTGGAGCTGAGTATTGTCTCGGGGTGGATGCCCTGTATTAGGACCCGATGTCTGATCTGGCACCAGGCCTCATGTTCTATTCGTCGTCCCTTCCAGATGAGGCAGGGCAGAGGAGGCAGCCCTTCTCCGCT